GAGGTTGCGTCACTGGGCTTAATGGCAACCATGCAGGGAGGGAGGGAGGGGGGCCGGAGAGAGTTTGGGGCCCTCCAGGAAGTGGGGCGCCCCAAACAGACATCTGCATTTCAGTCCCAGGACACTTTAGAGCAGGCATGGGCAAACTTTGGCCCTCCAGGTGTTTTGGACTACAACTCCCACAATTCCACCTACTGGCTGTTAGGAATTGTGGGAGTTGAAGTCCAAAACACCTGGAGGGCCAAAGTTTGCCCATGCCTGCTCTAAAGTGTCCTGGGACTGAAATGAATGTGTGGTGATATTATTATTATTATTATTATTATTATTATTATTATTATTATGAATTATAAAATTGGGAGAAATTCGGTTCAGTTCATGGAATCACAGAATCATGAAATTGGAAAAGACCCCAAAAGCCACCTAATCCAACCCTCTTCCATGCAGAAAAAGCACAATCAAAACACCCCCGATAGATGGCCCTCCAGCCTCTGCTTTAAAGCCCCCAAAGAAAGAGCCTCCGCGACACTTCGCGACACTGTTGGGAGGGCTTTGATTGTGATCCACACTGCCATATAACGCAGTTTAAAACCGCAGTGCAGTGTAGACTCCAATAATTCAGGCAAACTTTCTAAATTGGGGGCCTGCATGCTAGCACTAGTTGGACTGGATGGATGGTGGATGGAAGGAAGGAGGGAAGGGAAGGATAAAGGAAAGAGAGAAGCCAAGAAAGACAAAAGGGAAGGAAGGAGAGAGGGAGGAAAGAAGGAAGGAAGAACGAAAGGGTGAAAGGGAAGAATGGAAGGAGAAAGAGGGAGGAAAGGGAAAGAAGTAAAGAGGAAGAAAAGAGAGAAGGAAGGAAAAACAAAAGGGAGGGAAAGAGGAAAGGGTAGGAGGGAAGAATGGAAGGAGAAAGAAGGAAGGGAAGTAAGAATAAAGGAAAGAGAGAAGGAAGGTAAGACAAAGGGAGGGAAGAAGAAAGAGGAAGGGAAGGGAAGTAAGGAGGAAGGAAAGAGAAGGAAGGAAAGACAAAAGGGAGGGAGGATGAAGGAAAAAGGAGAAAGGGAGGGAAAGGAAAAAAAGGGAGGAAAGGAAGGAAGGGGAAGGAAAGAGAAGGAAGGAAAGACAAAAGGGAGGGAAGGACGAAAGGGTGGGAGGGAAGGATGGAAGGAGAAAGAGGGAGGGAAGTAAGGAGGAAGGAAAGAGAGAAGGAAGGAAGGACAAAAGGGAAGGAAGAACGAAAGGGTGGAAGAAAAGAATGGATGGGTGGATGGAAGGGAGGGAGGAGGGAAGGAAGAAGGAAAAAGAGAAGGAAGAAAGGAGAGCGAGAGAGGGGAGGGCCTGAGAAAAGAGCTCAAAGGGACGTATCTGCCCCCCTTCCCCGCCTGGGTTTGCTCATACCTGGTCCACATGGACTATATTACGAAGTCTTAAACTGCATTATAGGGCAGTGTAGACGGAGCCCGAGTATGGCAGAAGCGGGTTGGACCAGAAGACCCTTGTGGCCTCTTCTATGATTCTGTTATGATTGAAGGACAAAATAAAAAGAGCCATTTAAAGCAAACTATGGCTTGCCAACGCATTTCCCCCTCTGGTTTCAAAGGGACCGCGGCGGAAACCTCCTTCGGGTTGGGGGTTTTCAAAAACGCCCCCGCCTGGGTTTTCTCCAAGGTCGCGGGCATCTCAGTACTATATTGTACTATACCATTATATTGTAATATTATTAGTAATATTACATGTAATGTAAATATATTATTATTATATTATTAGTAGTAGTAATATATTGCATTACATTATAATATTACATTATAATATTACTATAATGTAGTAAGCAATCTGAATGATATACGTTACAAACAACTACTATAGGAAGCTTGCAGAAGGCCGCTATTTCCAACATATCCTAGGGTCACATAAACATTTCTCAGATCCTAAATAAAAATGTATAATCCCCTTCTACACTGTCATTGTATCTAAGGATGAAATCCCAGATTATCTCCATATTCCAGATTATATGGCAGTAGAAACTCATATAATCCAAAGCAGATAACCTGGGATCAGATCCTGGGATATAAGGACAGTGTAGGAGGGGCCTAAGGAGCCCTGCTCCAGACCTCCAGATGCTGTTGGCCTGCAAGCCCCAGCAGCCCTAGCCAGAAAAACCAAGGATAAAGAATGCTGGGAACTGCAATCCAACAACATCTGAAGGACCACATGGTTCCCACACTTGAATAGACAAAGGGTCCTTCCAGATAGTCCCTATATCCCAGGATCTGATCCCAGGTTTTCTGCTTTAAACTAGATTATATGAATCCACACTGCCTGGGATAAACAGAAAACCTGGAATCAGATCCTGGGATGTAGCCTCTGTCTGGAAGGGCCCACAGTAGCTTGGATACAGATATACCGTAATGGTTCCCAGGCCTCTTCTACACTGCCCTATATCCCAGAATCTGATCCCAAGTTATTTGCTTATCCCAGATTATCTCGCAGTGTAGACTCGTATAATCCAATTCAAAGCAGATAATCTGGGATCAGATCCTGGGATATAGAGCAGTGTGGATCCCAGCCTTAGAGCAGAATCTTGAAACCAATGTAATTTAAGGAATTGAAAACACATTTATTTATATGGGTCTCTCTGACTACATCTGGATCCAACCCAATCTGTAGAATGGTAATGAAAGAGGAGGACCAAAAAGGGGACTGCTGAAATATTGGAAAGAGCCAGCAAGCAGCATCCCTTGGGTACCAGGGTAATACCATGTTTACATAGGATATAGGCAGCATTGGGTTTTGGGTTACAATTGCTTGTTTGGATTATCCAGAAAAATATAAAGTTGCCTAAGCCTCTTAATAAAAACATACGTATGCCATAACAGATTATTATAACCAAAACACAATAGGTTATGGGCCCAGCAAGCTTTCACTCTTAGATCCAAGAATAAAGAAACACATGTGAGGGTTTAAAGCAGGCATGGGCAAACTTGGGCCCTCCTGTTAGGAATTGTGGGAGTTGGAGTCCAAAACTCCTGGAGGACCAAAGTTTCCCACTCCTGATTTAAAGCATGCAGTCCCAACCCCATATATCTAAGTTAGTCAGCAAAGGTGACTCAGAAACAAAAGAGGTGGGATGTAAACCTGCAGGAAATGAACAACCAATATGTGTTTTTACAATTTTAAGACTGGAAAAAGTAACAGCCTGCTCATGTGGTTTACTGATGGTGATAGTAAAATGTGTGTGTGTGTGTATACACACATGCGGAAGTCTCTCTAGGCACAACTATTTTCTTGATATGCTTTAAAACTGCTCTTCTTTTGTCGCCTATGTTCCCAGATGTTGTCTTCTAGATTATTAAATGCTATGTAGAAAGATGGATTTCCACAACAAATAGTCAGAATTTCAATTCCAGCCAATGTGTAGCTTTTACTCAATTTTAAATTTGATTTTTTAAAAATCTGCCAATATTGTAATCACAACTGATGCCCAATTAGATGTGGGTAGAGATTGCTTTCTTTTTTCTCATCCACAAAGCACAGATGAAGCAGTGTTTTGGACCAAGGCTTCTTAAACTCATGAGCCCTCTTTGCCCCTGAGCCCAGGTATATAGGTATCCTTATCCAGCCTCTTAGTAAAAAGATATTCATACCATAACAGGTTATTATAACCTGTTATCTCAGGCAGGCCCGATATCCCAGGATTTGGGACCATAACCCAATTCGTTATTTGCCCAGCAAGCATTCACTCTTCAATCCAAGAGTAAAGAACAGACATGTGAGGGTTTAAAGCTATGCAAATCAAACATTTACTGATACTAAATCATAAATATGTTTATTTTAAAATAATTATTTGGTGTGCTTATAATTTTACAATTTGTCAAAGAGGATTGAGGGACCACAATGAGAAGTTTTGGGATCGGTACCTCCATCTTAAAAGGTCTCATATTGCAAAGTGGACCATGTGCCTGAAATGGACTCATGCCCACCTCCTTCCTGTTCCCACTAAGCCTGTTCACATACATGCATGCAATCTGCGAGGGTTGAATGAAACGGAATGCCTCCACCTCCGTAACTCCTCAACAGATGGCAGTACTGATATGCGGCAGGTATGGGCTTGTTCAGTAGACTCTCCTCTACAGTTCAATTTTGGCGGGAAGCCTTAGCATTGACCGGTTGTATTGTTAATGTGCAAAATATGGAACCCTGCGCAGATGATAGGTCAATGTGACTTAAGCAACGTGCAGTCATTGAATTCTTGACAGCAGAAGATGTCACTCCAAAGGAGATCCATCAGAGAACGCAAGCTGTTTATGGTGATTGTGTTGATGCGCGTTGGGTGAGTAAGTTTAAAGATGTTGAGGTGGGAACATCTGACTTGCATGACAAACAAAGAATTGGACGTCCTGTGACAGCAACCACCGAGTTTCACAAGCAAAAGATTGACAGATTGATTCAGGACAATCGACCTATCATTCAGAGAGAAATTTCAAGCATAATCGGCATTTCACAAGAATGTGTGGGTCACATTATTGCTTTGCTTGGCTATTGGAAGATCTGTGCACCATGGGTTGCGGAAACAAAAAACTTCAGAAAACTTCAGAAATCTCGTTCATCATCGTTGGCAGAAATGTATCCAATTGTCTGGTGATTATGTGGAAAAGTGAATAGTGGTAGTTAAAGAGCACATTCTAAGGATTATTTCTGCTTTTGGTTTATTAAAATATTCCCATCCAAACCCAAGTAACGAAGGTGGAGGCATTACTTTTCATTCAACCCTAGTATATCCTTTCCTTCCCCTGAAAGCAAATAGGTGGTACTAACTCTTCCCTCCCTGCAAAGAGTACAGTCAAATTCTTCTTGAACTTTTAATTTTGGTTTATGATGACTCCCTGCATGAGAGAGACCTCCATGTCACCTCTCCTCAATAGCTCGCGGATTCAGGGTAGCCATGGCTTGAATCCACCTGGGGTGCGGTCTTCCTCTTTGTCTGCCGCCTTCGACCTTACCTTCGAGTCTTTCCCAGTGAGTCCTCTCTTCTGGTGATAGGCCCCAAGTAGGTTTAGTCACCTTAGGGCACTCAGGTAAGAACAGGATGAGGCAGCTTCTTCTCCGCTCGGTGCTTCGGTCTGGGGTCTGGATGCTTCGTGAATAAGGTCGCAGCACAATCCCTGCGGGGAAAGGCCACACCGAAGGGAGGAGAAGGAGTCCTGCAAATCCCACTCCTTGCCTTGAGCTTTTTTTCGGGGGCCCTTGGTCTGCTTTCTATGGACGTATTTCACAGGTGACAAAACCCGTCCTGTCCAGACCTTGCAGATGAAGCAAGCCACTTGGCAGCAATGCTACACAATCTTATCTATAGAAATAAAAATGTAACGTTCCTTTGCAGGATTAACATAACTCAAAAACCAATGGACGAATTGACACCAAATTTGGACACAAGACACCTACTAGGCCAACGAGTGACCATCACTCATAAAAACACTGAAAAACACAGCGGAAGGGACTTAAAAAGCCAAAAAAAAAAGCAAAACAACACTACAGCCCATGTGCAAAAATGACTCCCCAACACACAATAGCATATCTGCATTCTCTTCCAGACTACAGCTCCCAGCATCCCCTAGACCAGGCCCTTTAGGAGAGGAGGATGATCCAAATGCACTGCTTCCAAGCTCCAAGCTTTTTTCTCCTTGGATTTCTTTGAGAGCATCCCAATCCCTGCATATTTCCAATTTTCTATTGCTTGACTGCAACTCTCAGCAATCCTCCGGATAGATAGATTAGATAGAGATAGGTAGGTAGATAAATAGATAGATCAATCAGGAGGACTGTTGAGTGTTGCAGTCCAAGAATAGATAGAGAAGGAAGAAAGGGGAGAAAGAGGAGGGGAAAGAAAAGGTGGGGAGGGGAAGTGAAGAAGAAGAAGAAGGCGAAGAAGAAGAAGAAGAAGAAGAAGAGAAGGAAGAAAGGAGAGAAAGAAAAAAGGGAAGGAAGGAAGGGAAAGAAAAGGGAGAAAGGAAGGGAAGAGGAAGAGAAGGAAGGAAGGAGAGAAAGAAAGAAAGAAAAAAGGGAAGGAAGGAAAGGGAGGGAGGGAAGGAAGGATGGGAGGTGAAAAAAGAAAGAAGGAGAGAAAGAGGGAGGGAAGGTTGGCCACAGCAACGCGTGGTGGGTACAACTAGCATATATCTAAAACTTGGGAGGGGTGGAAGGGAAGAAGAGAAGGAAGGGAGGACAGAAAGAAAGAAAAAAGGGAAGGAAGGAGAGAAAGAAAGAAGAGAAAGAGGGAGGGAAGTTTGGCCTGACGGATACAGCTATTTTAAAATAAAATAGCTATAGTCTAATTCTACAAAAGTTTTTTTCTAGTATTCAAAACATTTTATTAATTAACACAGGATATTGTTTATTTTATTTTATATTTTATTTTATAATAAATAAATACATAAATAAAAAAATTAATACAAGGTATGACCACAAAATATTTTTTAAAATAGTTCGAAGCCTATTTCAAACATAACACTAGGCAATCAAATTAGCAAAAAAAAATCTGTTCTTGGTTTGAAAGTGTTGTTTTCTGTTGAATTGTACAGGTACTTACTTTGAAAGTAGTTGTTCTATTTCAGAAATTTCCTTTTTGTGCCTGCCACAAACCACATTGAAGTGGTTGAGATATTCACTGGAAGGGGGGGGGGGACGGGGACTAGAGCCAAAGGTGCTGAAAGATGGAAAAATAGTTTGAGGAACTTTTCATAGAATCACAGAATCCTTGAGTTGGAAGAGACCGCGTGGGCCATCCTGCCAAGAAGCAGGAAAATCGTACCCAAAGCACCCCTTTTCAATGACAGAACCAATTAGGAAATGACATTTATGGCTCAGGGACTTCGTGGAATGGGGCGCGTGGCCATCGCCTCCTGGAAGAAGAGGGTCCCGCAAAGGCAGCCGAGGAAAGCCCGCAGATCCGCGTGGAAATCCTGCGCCTGCAACAGCTTCGTGGATCAAGCTCGGCCGTTCTCCTGGCCCCTGCCTTCGGATCTGCGGGCGGGGAAGCCTTGCCTTTGGCCCGGGAAAGAAAGCAAGAAAAGCGCTGCCCAGAGTCCTTCCCCTTTCTTTCCCCACTTTTCCCTACAGGAAAACAAACCCCAGGTATTATACCTTTACGAAGGCAGAGCTCAGAGAATCATTACAAGGGAAGGCTGTTAAAGTTTATTTCGAGCCCTTCCCAAGGCAAAACGAAATATAGAAGTGACGTTTTATGGCCAACATCTGGCAAGCTGAAGGAAAGAGTGAGAGCTGGCATGGCCTGGCTTGGCCTGGCTGGGTTTGGATTCGGAACAGGCCCAACACAACCAACCCGCGAGGCCTTGTAAACCCGCACCGGGCCCGGGGTGCGCCATAAAAAGAAGCAGTCGGAGGCCTGCTCTTTACAAGGCCTCGTAAATGGGCCCTCCGGCCTGCCCGGCAAGAGGAGGAGGAGGAAAGGGAGAGGAGGAAGCCAAGCAATTGGGCTGGCATTAAGCGCGCCTCTTAAACCCGTTTAAAGGGCCAGCTCACCAGGCAGGGAAGCGCCATAAAGTCACGGAGGAGGGAGAATTCAGGCCTCCGTGTTGCCTGACAGTTTTTTGGGCTGTTTAGTCTTGCTGGAGCAGTTTTTTCTCCTCCTGAAACTTCAAGGCGCTTCTGGCGTTAGAGAATTGGCCGTCTGCAAGGACGTTGCCCAGAGAAACTTCAAGGCCTTTCTGGTGGGATAGAATTGGCCGTCTGCAAGGAGTTGCACAGATAAACTTCAAGGCGTTTCTAGTGGGAGAGAATTGGCCGGTCTGCAAGAACGTTGCCCAGAGAAAGTTCAAGGCGCTTCTGGTGGGAGAGAATTGACCGTCTGCAAGGAGTTGCCCAGATAAACTTCAAGGCGTTTCTGGTGGGAGAGAATTGGCCAGAGAAACTTCAAGGGGCTTCTGGTGGGAGAGAATTGGCTGTCTGCAAGGATGTTGCCCAGAGAAACTTCAGGGGACGCCAGTATCCACAGACAATACACTCCCATTGAAGCTGTTTCAGCAGAGAATTGGGACCAATTCCCCTCCAGGTCGCTCCAGCTCTGAGCGTCAATACTTTTGCCTAAGGACTTCTTCCAGGCGATTAATGCCAAAGGCATCACACGAAAGGGTGGAAAGGGGAAAACTTCATCACCTCCGGAAAGGCAGCCCCTAAGTTACAAACATGATCGGTTCTGTAGATTTGTTCTTAAGTTGAATTTTGTACGTAAGTCGGAACAAGTACATTTTAAAGTGCAACTCCAGCTGTACACACACATACATACACGGGTGGTCAAAAAGTAATGACTCCATCGCTCTAAATGTTCTTTCTTTCACAGATTTTGGACTATCTATTATTTTTTTCTGAATGAAGATGAGAGTGTTTAAGGACCTGGACAGCAAAGACCACCAGCATTGAAGTGATGCTGCTGCGCCATCAACTCCGCTGTAATGGACATCAGCAATGTGTGGCTGTTCAGTGAAGAAGTAGGACTTCTTCATGAAACGTGGTCACTAGAGATGATACTTGGGCTGGTCAGCAGGGCCTCATCCTACAGCACCTTCTGACTTTTACCTATTTGGACCTCTGAAAGCCGACCTAAAGCGGTTTCCGATTCAATGACTAATTGGAGGACAGTTCAGGCTATGATCTGGAGCAACTTCTACTGTTATATGTTCAATCATCACTTTTTTATGACATAGGAGGCAAAACTTTTTGACCCAGCAGCATGTATATAGACTTTGGATAGCATAGGGAAGGGTCAACACTCGTGTGGAGTTAGTTTTACTGTCTGTGCCCCTGTTCAGAAGATTTCACCTCACTTTCTGTCCCTGTGAGCACTGGATTCTGTTGTGGAAACAAAGATCCGGTGATAAATCTTCAGTGGAGACACCTCACATATAAGCTTTGGATAGCATAGGCCATACAGCCCGGAAAACACACAACAACCCAGTTTCACCTCACTTCCTGTCCCTGTGAAAATCGGATTTTATTGTGGAAACAAGGATCAGTGATAAAGCTTCAGTTGGAGACACCCTTTCCCCATGATAATAACTCGTTTCAGGAGTGGATTTCCCTAGATTTCCTCGCACTTCCTGTTGTCTCTCTCTCTCTCTCTCTCTCTCTCTCTCACACACACACACACACACATACACCCCTTTGATTTGTGGTGAGTCCTTTTCTTGTGTGTGTGTCTTAAGAAACTGCAAGTCGCTTGTGGTGTGAGATAATTGGAGCCTGGATATCTTGATGTTTTACTATCCTTGTGGGAGGCTTCTCTCATGTCTCCCGTATGGGGAGCTGGACCTGACAGAGGGAGCTCACCCAGGCTCTCCCCAGATTCGAACCTCCGACCTGTATGTCTTCAGTCCCATGCCATGTGGCCGCACAATCATTCCAATTTGTGTGTGTGTGTGTGTGTTCTGGTGTGAGAGAATTGACCGTCTGCAAGGACGTTGCCCAGGGGACAGGGATGTTTTCACGTCTTACCATTCTTGTAGGAGGCTTCGCTCATGTCCCGCGGCATGGGGAGCTACAGCTGACAGAGGGAGCTCCTCCACCCTCTCCCCGTGTGAGAGAATTGGCGCCCTGATGTCTTGATGTTTTTCCATTTTTGTGGGAGGCTTCTCTCATGCCCCGCGGCATGGGGAGCTGGAGCTGACAGAGGGAGCTCATCCGCGCTCTCCCTGTGTGAGAGAATAAGTGCCCCTGATGTCTTGATGTTTTACCATTCTTGTGGGGAGGCTTCTCTCATGTCCCCGTATGGGGAGCTGGAGGTGACAGAGGGAGCTCATCCGCGCTCCGCCCAATTCAAACCTCCAACATTTATTTTCTGTATCAGGAGCGACTTGAGAAACTGCAAGTCCCTTCTGGTGTGAGAGAATTGGACGTCTGCAAGGACGGCCAATTGTTTTGTTGTTTTACCATCCTTGTGGGAGGCTCCTCTCATGTCCCTGAATGGGGAGCTGGAGCTGACAGAAGGAGCTCATCCGCGCTCTCCCCAGATTCGAACCTGCCCCTGTCTGTCTTCAGTCCTGCGGTAGAAGAGTTATTCCACTGCCTTTTTTGGTAGAGTATTTTAAAGGGCCTTTTTTGTGTGCCTCGATAAAGGTTAAGGTTTCCCTCCTTGACATTAAGTCGAGTTGAAGAAGCTGGGACTAACAACGGGGTACAGGGGATTCCAACCCCCGACCTTCCCGTCAGCAGCT